TTTGATTTTTTCCAATGCAAATAAGAAAATGTCATGACAGTCTTGCTAGGGCAGCTAAATTCAGATTCAATAGGACTGGTGACAGCTGCAAACTCAGGAGGACTAAATGCTGAAACTGAATCAAATAGTATTTGTTTAGGGTTTAGCGCACGTTAATGAAGCTAGGTTCTTCTTTATAAAATTTACTATAGGGGTTAAAACCCCATATTGTAACTGGGAAAGCCTTTAGAGAGACATTTTATGGCCATCTGCACTTGCAGCAGATTTAAATTTGTTATAAACGACTGTAGAGCTGGAAGTCTGAATGCCCACAGATACTGCAGACACCGTGAGAAGCTCTAGCTGCACAGCATAGAGCGCTCGCACCCTGTTTGCCACTAATGCAGAGAGAAAAGAAACGAAACAAAAGAAACACTGAAGCCTCCCTACAGCAGTGAGGAGGGAGGGATGGGGTCATCATTCCCTCCTGACATCTACCACTGAACTGCTTAAGCTGTTTAAAAGCTTTTAAATAAATGTGTAGGGAGTATATACACCATGGTGCCTCTGCAGTTCAGACCTCATCGCAGACACACAACCGTCGGCTGAAGGAGGGACGCCGCAGGCATGGGGTTTCCAAGGCTCTCTGCAGTTTCACAGGTTTGGATGAAAAATGTGTTTTCGTTGTATTTATTACTCAACTACCGGCGGTTTGTTGGCTTTTTCCATAAAAAGGTGTAAAGTTTCTCTATAGAGATTCCGTTAGGCAGACGGTTCGTCTCAGAGTTCGTCGAGTCGATGGATCGACGCCAAAGAGCAGAAGAAAAACTCGCCCTCATGGGGGCAGAAAAGAAGAGTCGAAACAGGTGGTTCACTGAGTTCAAAAAGCAACAATCATCTGTCCTTTGCTCTGTTTCGTCCTCCATTCATGCCAACTGTCTATAAAGCACTTTGTGACGAGCCTGGGTATTAAAAGCGCTTTTTTTTTTTCTTTTAATGATGAAGTCAGTTGAATTATAATTAGGACCTGGTGAGATACTGTTGATGAGGAGAGAAAAATGAAACCAGAACGGATCATCCACAGATGGGGCCCGAGTCAGGTGATTGTGATTTTTGTTGATTGCCAAGCTGGTTGACAGGAAGACACAAAAGAGGAGGATTCCGGTTATTACAGGTGGTGCATTCAGGGACAGGATGAGGGTCGCTTCCTCCTCAGCCTCTTTAACACTTTGAGATTTTTCCATTTCTGTCCGTGCAGCGATTGGATAATTGGAAATGTAGATGGCCCGGTCTGAATGGAGGCTCAACACCTCCTCTTCTGGTCACAGACGGGAGGTAGGACTTAGCAGCAGTCTAGGACGGCGTAGGGCTCTTCAAGGCATCCACTTTGGTCTCCAGGTCTGTAATCTGTGGAATAAATACAATTTAAGGTCAATTAATTTATGTTCAAATGAATAGAACCGCATCATTACATAATAATGAAAAGAGAATGCTTTCTAGTTAGCTAAAGCCGGGCATACACTGTACAATTTTTTTCAATCGCTGCACGCAGCTACAGCTCACACTGTACAGAGTTCATATCTCATGATGCACTGATGCGATCTACCTGCTCCCACTGTATGTCTAAAGTCAGGCCTATGCTGGGCGATTTTTGCCCTATTTGTCCTGACTTCCCAGTCGTGCGAGAATTTTTCGATCGGCTCGACTTTCAGCCTGATTGTGCATCATGTAGTTTACAAGGGGTAACGACGGGCGATCAGCCTCTCACGACCATCACCCTATCAGGAATCGTGAGGTCGGGAGAAAATCAAACATGTTTGGTTTTCAGTCGACCATCGTGGGCAAAAAGCTCAGTGGGGAAATAAGGATTCTTCTTCCTCTCAGATGTAAACACAGAAGCATGGTGGTGGTGTGAATGAAATGGAGTTCTTTCTGTAAGATTGACAGACCGTAGTAGCCACGTTTGATCAGCCATGTCTTTGCTTTTTAGGGCTTTCAGCACAAATTTAAACAATTCGCCAAGGCAGCGCATTTCACTCCAGTGAGCCTCATGTTTCTCCTCTACTGGTTTGGCTTCCGGCTAGATGCACCATCTCACTGCGGGGCTCAGTCCGACTCAGGCAATTCAAACCAGGATTAATCGCAGTTAACTATGAAGCTTCTGTGATTAATCACGATTCAAGAAATTAATCCTTTAACTATATATAGATATATATAAATATAATATATATAATGAATGTTAGTTAATTGGATGTGATCACTATTAACAGCTCAGTGAGAAGAATTTACTCTATCGTCAACAAAGGCCTCCTGAGGAGGTGTTAATAATTTGTGAAACACTCCTGGAAGGAGAAATAAATACAATATACAGTGATTATAAAGCTTATAGTTAGAGTGGCTCAGGTTATTCTGAGCTATCTCTATAGTTATGCTGCTATAGGCTTAGACTGCTGGAGGACATAGGGACGCCTATTTCATCATTTTGCTTCATTCTATCTCTATTCCCCCACTCTGTAGAATCTGTTAGTTCAATCTCTAACGTTATTCTCTCCTGCTTTTTCTCATAGTAGCTTCACCGTGTCTGTTCCTGTTTGTCTGTGACTCCATCCTGGAGAGAAACATCAGCTGTGCTGCTGCCATCAACACCTTTGTTTATAGATGTTCAAGATCGGCCTGTTTTCCAGTGTAGTCCTGTTTCTCTGACTGTGACTGAGTGGATGTGCTCTCTTCATCCTCTGACATGGGAGCTGGCTCAGTGCTCGTCTGCCTGGCTGTGTGTTACCTGGACGGGGCCTTTTATAGTTGTCCTTTGTATCTCTGCTTCTGTCTTCTGAGTCTCAC